TCTGGAAGATGGCATTCTATTAACCACTCTAAACTTAGGGCTCATCACTGGGAGAATGAAGATATTTCTGTAAACTCATGGGGTGCGACTGTCAAAAGTGAATGCAGAAAGATGCTGTCAGTCTCAGCGCAGAGAATATGAAGAAGAAGTGTTGAGCACAGACCTGCTTTGACTTAGGCAGCTGCCTTGGGGATTAGCATGAGGACAGTGTCAGGGTTGGGAGCTGCCAGGAGCTAGGGAGTCGCAATCTTGATAATGGCCCATGAGTCTGAGACGAAGTGTTACACCAGTCATTTACTGTTTTGCTGAGTGAGTGAGTGAGTGAGTATCAAAAGGGCTAGCACAGCTAGCGGCATGTGTGTCCTTCTAGAGCTAGGTGGGTACCATGCGCCACAGTTACTCAACAGCCTCTTTCTTTAAAGTAGATTTGGGGCTAGTTTTAAGAAGAGAATAGTACGAATAGAAAAACAGTCATGAGGATCAATGGAACAGAATAAAGGGTACAGAAAAGACCCCAAGCACAATTAACTATTTGATCTTGGAGAAAAGCTCCAAAGACACTGGAGGAAAAATAGCCTTTATAGTAAATGGTGCTTGGAAAACTTCTGGCTTTCCATGTGCAGAAGACTGAGTCTAGACTTATATCACTAATCATGTACTCAAGTAAAATTTAAAAAGTTGGGCTGGCCAGATAGCTCAGTGGACCAAAGCACCTGCTTAGGCAGGCACAGGGACCACAGTTCGATACTACCCTTCCCCCTCCCCCAACTCCACTCCTACCTCTTGTGCAGTACCAGCCACACCCCTGTGCCCTAGACAGTGACTGAAACTGGGCATGGTGGCAACAGCTGTAATCTCAGTGCTTGGGAGGCTGAAAACAGGAGGATCACTATGAGTCTGATCTGTGTAGTGAGACCCTGGAGACCCTGTACTAAATATATAAAGAAACATTTTAAATAGTGTATTATTTAAATTTTAAAACATAAACACTCACCCTGCTGGAAGATAAAATGGGTAGAAGTCCTGAAGTCATAGGCATAGGTGAGGGCTTTCTGAACAGAATCCTAGATGCTCAGGAAATAGTATTGAGAATCAATAACTTGGGTCATACTGAATTAAAAAGCTGCACAGCAAAAGAAACAACTAACAGGGGTAAAAAGACAACCTACAGAATGGTACAGTGTTTCCAGATCTTCCTCATGCAGAGGACTAATACCTAAAATATATAGATAACTCAAAAAATTAAGACCACCCCCCAAAAATAAAAGACCCAATCAAAAAATAGGCAAGTGAAATGAGCAGGCATTTTGAGCAGTACACATAGCCAATAAATACCCGAAGAAATGCTCAACATCACTGGCCATTAGAGAAATGGCAATAAAAACAATACTAAGATTTATCTTACCTCAGAAAGCCCAGCTATCATCAAAAAATCAAATAAGAAATGCTGGTGAGAATGCGGGAGAAAAGGAACTCTGCTACCTGCCTGACGGGAGTGTACACTGGTACGACCACTATGGAGATTGGTGTAAGAGGTTCCCCAAAAAGCTAAAAGTATAAATTTCATCTTAACCTAGCTAATCCCCTTCTAGTATCTTCCCAAAAAATCATTTTACAGTCATTATGCATGACCATGTTTATAGCAGCATAATTCACAGCCGCTAAATCTCAAAAGCAGCCTATATACCCATATCCACCAGCAGATAACTGAAAAAAGAAAAGGTAGTTTTTACCCACAATGAAATACTACTTTTCCATAAAGCAAGATAAGCTTGAGTCATTTGTAGAAGACTAGATGCCCCTTGAGACCACCGTGTTAAGCTAAATAAATCAGACAGTTTAAATTAAATATCACATGGTTTCTCTTCCATAAGAAACCTAAGTTATAAATAAAGAGCAAAACAAAAGATAATAGGAAATGGAGAGTAAGAGATATTTCTCAAAAGGGAAGGAAGGGGGTCAAAGAGAAAGATGGAAAGGAAAGGAGAATGGAAAAAGGGCTTCGAATGTGTTATGCATAAATAGGTACCAACTCCCCACAAGGAATGCAATTATTATGTACCAATAATGTGCACTAAAAAGTGATAGATTTATATCACTTTTTTAAATGTTACAGCGGGCTGCTTCTCTGCGCCAAGAGAACAGTTCCACATCTTGATTGTCCCAAAGGTTACATGAATGTGATGATTTGTCACAGGACTATTTTTAAAGAGATTGGAGAAAGAACGCGTGCAGAAACTGGTGAGACCTGTAGCTGGCTTTAAAAAAAAAAAAAAAAATGTTTTTAAAACACAAAATAACAAGAGCATGTCCAGATTGATGAAGCCCGTTGAAGTTCAGCTTGTTCTATGAGTCCCACATCTACAGTGTCTTTGCCCTGGAGACAGATCGTAGGTAACAGATGTTGGTCAAAGAGGCGTAGGCGGGGGAATCGACCTGTGCCATCACCAAGCTGTGGCATGGGGCCTCTTCTCCTGGAACTCACAGACAAGGACTCTGTCACATCGCATGTGCAGTGGTTTTCTTTCAGTGGATCCTTGCCAATGGAATCATCAAACCAAGGTGTGTGTTGATTTAAAAGAGACAAAAGAAATCCAAAAGCAGAATCAAAGGGATAGTTGCCGTGTGTATCCCCGAGACATTTCGTCTACTCCTACGGTGGAATCATGGGAAATGAGTGGGCTCTGGGGTGGAAGCTGTGCTCCCTGCATCAGTGATGTACTGCTGTAAACATTTCCTGAAGCTCTGACAGGGCACCACAGCCTGAGGAATTCTACACTGTAGCTATCTATTCCCCTCTTGGCCCTCACGGCTGGGAGGGCCAAGAGAACTGAACTGGTGTCCAGCACGGGTCTTCACCCTGCATTAGCCCGCGGCAAAAGGCAGAAGCAAGCCTGCATGCTGTGGAACTCCAAAGAGGGAAGAACATGGCGGGAAACTGGGCCAAATTCATCCCGTCTGTCAGGAACCTACTTCCAAAAGCAGCCGGGCCCTCCGACGCAGTAGCCTTTCCAGTTCACCAAGGAGGAGTCTCCTGCTACAAGTTCTTTTGTCTGCCAAGGGCTGATAGGGTTAGACCCCCTGGCTACATTCCCAGAGAGTTGTTGCCCCATCATAATTGGTCTTTTTTCCTTTCGCAGTTCCATCCTTCTTGCCAAAACACAGCAAATACTTCCCTGGGTCCCTCTGTCATGTAAATATTAACCATTGTTATCTTACGGACTAGACATAGCAGGCTTTTTATTCTCATCTTTATTTGCTGTTGATTTGCTCTGAAGTTTTCTTTTTCTGAGCTGTGTCTTCTGCACGTGTGGCACCTTTGCAGTTTAGGGGGAGGGACAGCTGGCTGTCCTGCTGTCTGTTTTCTGGCAAATGGAGATGTCTTCTTCATTACTCATGAGAACACAGTGGGAGTTAGGAAAGTGGTCTCTGAAGACAGGTGTTGGGTTATAGTATTCCTTTTCTGTTTTAGGAAACTGGATCTTTTATGGCAGGAAATTATACATAACATAAAATGTACCATTTTAAGTATTTTTAGACACACAGCTTAGTGGCACTGAATGTACTGGCAAACACTGACCTGCACCCACCCCGAGGGTGCTTCATCTGCCCCTCGTGGAGCGACATCCATTATGCACCCACCCCCCTTCGTGTCCACCCTCGATCCTGGACAGCCACAGTCCCGTTTCTCGTCTCTCTGGTTTGACCACTCTAGGCACCTCATAGGCTCAGAAGCATTCAATAGACTATTTGCGATGGGCTTCTTTCACTTGGCATAATATTTTCAGGATTTATCCACGTTGTAGCTCAGACCAGGAATTCATTCCACTTGAGGTATGAATAATATCCCGTTGTGGGTAGTTATATCTTTACCCACTGATGTATAGATAAACTGTTTCCATTTTTTTAAACTATCAAGAATAAAATCACAATGGATGTTGGGTGTCCAAGTGTCATCCAAACTACTTTCAAATCTTTTGGCTACACATCCTGCTCTTCTTCATCGTGTGCCTGGATCCAGAATTGTTGCGTCACACGGCATCTCTGTGCGTGAGACTTTCGAGGACCTTCTACACTGCTGTCCACGGACAGCACCATTTTCCATTTGCAGCTGCACCTCCTTGTGTTCCAACTTCTCCGTACCTTGCTAGCGCTTCACTTCTCTGTTGTTGTTGTGGGGCTTTGTTTGGGGTGGGAACCATCCAGAAGCGCACGGAGTGGTCTCACTGTGGTTTTGATTTGCGCTTCCCTGGTGACTACTGAGATTGAGCAGCGTTCCCTGTGCTCATTGATCCTCCTATGTCGTCTTGAAAATGTTTATCCAAGGTCTTTGCCCGTCGTGGGAGTTTTGTGTACTGGACCAGAGCCTTTCTTTGTTGGGCCGTTTTAGGTCGCTCCCCCACACCCCACCTCCATCTTACTACGAGCTATGCATCTCATAATGCTATATTATTTCTTGCAACTCAAACTTGGCAGCTTTGTATGTATAGTGAACTGTTTGTTCTTTATTAGTCCACTCTAAGGTATTGCTAAGGGATATATTTTAAATTTTTCTATTTTAGAGTATTCATCTTTTCAAGGCACCTCCCTTCCCAACTGATATTGATATTTAGAATATTTGCATCTTCTAATCTTAAGGCCAGATTATCATTGTCTTTTTCTTATCCTGAGTGTCACAGAATATCATGTGAAGGGGTGCTCGTGCCTAACTGCATTCATGAAATTCAAGATCTGCCACCTTCAAGCACAGTATGTGTGTGGTGACCTGAAGTGTATCTTACCTGTGATTTAGTACACGGGTCATGAGCAGACCACCAGGCTTACGCAGCCTGAAAGCAAAAACCCATGGGATCCTGTTGAGACTGCACACCTCCAGTGTGACCGCGTTTTTCCTAATAACTGTCCTCCCCTTGGCCTTGGGTGGTTACCCTCAGACTCCGCTGTGGGTCGCCACGTTTTCCCTCACTCCTGCAATGACTGTGTTTGTCCTACCCCTACAGGTGAAGTCTGCTGTCCAGATGAGCAACACAACCGGGTTTCTGTGGGGCTCGGCGACGCCTGCTGCGGCAGGATGCCCTACTCCTCCGCGGGACCCCAGCTCTGCTGCGCGGGGATGCTGCATGACGGCCACGGGCGCCGGTGCTGCGGGGGGCAGGTGGTGAGCAGCGACATGCAGTGCTGCGGAGGAAGGGCGCAGGGCGTGGCCTACGTGCGCTTGCCAGGTGAGGACCCTACCTGGGTGCAGAGGACCCTACCTGGGTGCAGAGCACCCCGGAGACGGAGAGAGCCCCCTTGCCCTCCCTAAACTCACTCTCATAATGTCCTACGCAACCATCAGCAGCACTAGAAATCGAACTGCAGTGTCCCACTATGTCTATAGATCTGATGTATGCCAGCAAAGCCCCTAGTGAAAAGTATTACATACACCAAAATTAATAAATAAATAAGGCACATGAATTCATTGGTTCCCCAGCAAAACAATGTTTCTTAGTAAAACCTATGTATGCCTCAAATTGTTGTGATGATGTCGTAGTACAGTTCTTTTTCTCTCCTATTCTTTAGTGCTTGTGGAACTAACACTGCTATTGTCACCAAGCTGGGAGCTGTGGTATGCCGCTATCGCCCCAGTACTCTGGGAAGCTGAGACAAAGGGATCTCAAGGTCAAGAACAGCCTGGATGATTTAGTGACATAGCGAAACTCAGACTTCAAGCTGGTGGGGGCTTGGTGACAGGAAGATCTGATCTCAAAGGTTAAGATGACGGGCCCTGTGCAAAGACTCCAGGGTCAATCCCCAGTGCTGCCCGACCTGTCAAAGAAACAAGCAGAAAGTAATCATGATCATTACTATCTACTAGGTATTGTCCCAATGTTTTGCACAGGATTAGCAGAATAAATTAATCTCTACAACAATCTTACAACTAGGTACTACTATGTACATTTTTAAAATGAGGAAACAGAGCTCAGTATTACATTTCTTGCCTTCAATGTGCAAGGGCCCGGGTTTGATCCCCAGCCCTGCAAATAAACAAATAAATAAGTGATAACGAGGTAAAAGTGAGGAAAATGAAAAGCGCGCATCACGAATGTGCTCAAGCTCATCGAGCTAGTCGAGTCTGGCATTTGAGCCAGCTGAAACTTTATGTGGCTTGGGAGGCTTTTCAGAAAAACAGAAACTAATGAAGGCCCACAAAATACAAAACGAGTATTTATTTGCAGTAGAAAAATACATGACAGATCAAAAAGAAAAAGAAAACCCCTATCAAATCCCGCAAGTATACAAGCAGTGTATTCAGGGTTAGGGCTGCCGGGCCTCCCGCTCACCACCCTTTTCCTCTCCACCTGCACATCCTGCTGCAGTTAGGAGAGAGCACAAAAGCAAATGCATTTTTTGGTCTCATAGTTAGTGGTAGTAGTTTTCTAACAATTGCCTGAAATTTAGAATGGTGACTCTAAGATTCACAACTCGCCCATGACATACATGTCTGGGGCCCTTGTCAAGTGGAAGGAGGCTCTCTCTAGGGTCCTGGGCCATTTAAGTGGTTCCGGTCTGAGCACGATTTGCAGGGAGCTATCTCAACTGCATGGAGTTGACTTTGTTAACCTGTATTTCATGGACATTCTTCCTGAATGTCTGAATTTGAGCTGTAAGTTATCAGCAGTGTCATTATCCTATCTGTAAATCAACAAGAAGTAAAACTTTCTCCCATGTATTTATGAGTCCCTTCCCTTCATAATTTACATTATTGAATAATCAAATTGTCTATGCATTGCCTCAAATCTGAGTCCATCGTTTTCTTTCACTATTTTCAGTTATTATCTGAATTTTATTTATGATCCTCTTTTTCACATCAGAATAGTTGCAGTTAATCTATTTTACTTTTTCCTGTGCCTGTTTCATGTTAACTTTTCTACCATCTACTGTTTTGTTTCTTTAACTCTTCCTTTTGTACATATCTGAATTAGGAGTAAATCTGTACATTCCATATCCTCAACTTGAATCTTCAAGACTCAACTCTCTTTCTATGGCAGGGGCTAGACTCAGTATAGTAAATATATTGAACCCAATATGGTAAGTACACTGAATCAAGATAGTAAATATAGGAAGTAAATATATTTATCTATTTCCCAGACTCAACTACTATTTCTTCATTGGTTTTGCTATTAAAGTACTCTCTTTATTAGTTTTATTAGCATTCCATTGACTAAAATTCAACTATATGTTGACACCTCAATGCAGAGGGAGGCTAGGAGGTTCTCCCATGCACCTTTGGCCGCTATGGCCACGAAGGGACTCTCACTTCCTCGAGTGGCTGGAAGGTCTGTGCTTTTAGCCGATGAAAGTATTCTAATACCTGCACAGCCCTGGTGCTCGCCAACTCCAATTCAATCAGTGTTCATTAAATCTCATGGACCAGTCTTGTATATAGCAACCAGGTTGTACACATCTCATGAACGACCAGGAAAACACACACACACACACACACACACACACACACACACACACACACACATTAAAGAGTGTTCCCTTTGCACACTAAATGCTTGTACAAATTAGAAGAAAAGGTCCTGGCTATCAGATCTGGAGTCTAGGGACTGGAGAGATGGCTCAGTGGTCTAAAGCACCTACTTGGAACAAGCTTGGCAAAGCACAGGGACCGCGGTTCAATCCCCCAGCACTACATGCCAGCCAGCCCCGCCCCCTGGTGGGCTGAGCTGGACACACACACACACAATAAATGTTAAAAATGAAAAAATAAAAATAAAAAAAGATCTGGAGTCTACACCAATGACTTTTAAAGTATGCCCTGGGCGGGGCCGGGGAGATGGCTCAGTAGAATAAGTGCTTCCCTGGCAAGCGCAAGGGCCTGAGTGCAATCCTTGGTTCCACCAAAAAAAAAAAAAAAGTATGCCCTGGGCACTCCTGGGAGTCTTTGGGTGGTCTCTGAGAATCTTTCAGTGGTCTTGAGAACAAAACTATTTTTTACAATCATACCAAACTGTCCTCTGCCTTCGGAACTCCCGTCCCCTCATGAGCATACAGTACAGTGTCCCAGGGACTGCCTGACAAGTGATAAGGCAACAGACAGATGCCAAAACGGATTGGGGAATTTGCTTTCTGTTAAACTGCACATGTGATGGGCTTGCAAAGCTGTAGAACAGGGTCATTCTCAATGTATTTCTTTTTATGCATTTAGTAAAGGGATACAGGGTCTACAGGGTCTGACTACACAGATTGGACTCGTGGTGATTCTCCTGTTTTCAGCCTCCCAAGAGCTGTACAGGTGCGTGCCACCCCAGTCTCAATCGCTGTCTCAGGAGGCCCTGAGGGCAGGGCTGGCTCACCAGGAAGTGAACCCTGGCTCCCGCGCTCTGCCTAAACAGGGGCTTTAGTCCACTGAGCTATCAGGCTGGGCCTCTCAGTACATTTTTGAGTTTGGAAAACACCTATTCTTCCTAAATATGCTATGGACCTGTTACGATTTCTAAATGAATTAATAAATATGTATTTCAAGATTGAGCTTTAATCCTAAGAGAGTAAGAATTCAATGACATGATTTATATAAATAAAGACTATTTTGGGAACCCCAGTATTTGTATGAGTACAGAGTGATCCTGAGAGTAAAATGTACTACACTGCTTGAAAGGACTGTAATGTGCGCTAGAAATCACGGGGCTTGGTTAGTTATCCTGTGCTGTCAGTGATCCGTTAGTTGGGTACTTTCTCCTCTTTTGGGTGAAGCAGCTAAAAGCAGACAAGGAGCATGCAAAACGGTTGTGTTCTTCATTCAGTCATAGGACAGAGTAATGCAATGACAGGAAAATATCTCATTGTATTGACACCTTCGTCTGTAGCTATTTTTGTTTAGCCAATCGCCACCTCCCTTCATTCAATAAATACATCTCACATAGAGGCTGTCTTTGAGATGCCCTTTGTGCTTTCTGACCATAAAAAATGGCTGATTGCACAAAAACTGAACAAGTGAAACAAGGAGAAAAGTATCCAAGTATACAGAAGCCTAAAAGAGGGATAATAAAGAAGACTAGGCGAGAGGTCACATCCGGGTAATAAGGAGAGCTGCCTGTGGGCTGCACCATAAACACTAAGTAGGATCTTCAGAGGTGCAGCTTGTTGCAAACAGCAAAATTAAGTCTGCAAGCGTGTCCCGGTAGTGCTGAGCACCGCATTGTACTGGAGGTCTACGGCCTGCGGAAGGAGGTAAAGGGGGATAAATCTGCACAGGCAAAAGGATTTGAACATTATTTAGTACTCTGGGAAGAATCAATGTGGCTGCAAGAGTAGGATTTAATGAGATTAATTTAATTTAGGTGGGAGAACAAACGTGAAGGAGAAGGAAGGAGAAGTCAGAGCACTACTGCTCTGAAGTCAGATGCACCTGTCCTAAGAAACGGACTGTCACTGTCCCCAGCTACAAGGATTTCTCATTTTTCCTTGAGAATTCTTTTGGAAATTACAAACTTTTACTTGTGCTTTCTAAATGAAAGCACATAGAAAACACATGCACAATACGACTGCCGTTTTAGACCCTTGAAGGCTACCGATGGACCCACATTTCAGGATCTCTTCTGTGTTTATTTCAATATGCCAGTGAAATATCCCCGATCAAATTATGTTGCCCCCCAACTCCTGTGAAGTGAGACTGGATGGGGAGTGTCCTGTGGATTCTTTCAATTTGACCAGCTCGTAGGACTGTGGCAGAGTAGGGAAATAATACTTTAAAGAAAGACATGTAAGGAATCTCTTTATTCTGCTGAGTGTTTGCAGGTTTCCCTGACAAGAGACAGCCCTGTGTGTCTCTTTCCTCTCTGGTCTTGCTTGCTCCAGTCATTCATAAGGACTACGACCTCAGTGCCCTTCCAGGCTATCACATGGATGCTTTTCTCCTCGGTCTAGGTGTGCCCTACACTTGTACACAGAGCTCGGATCACGTATCGCTCCTGAGCCCATCCGCTCTCGCTGCCTGGCATTGTGAGCCTGCCACATGACCGGGCAGGCTCGTAAAACATCTCTTTATGTACTTTATTACTTAAACTCTTTTATTTGCCTGCAGGAGCCCTTTAACAAAATCACATTGAATTGACTTTCTCACACCAAATCAAATCTCCCTGGTCCCAGTTCAGTTGTCTTTGTCAATATGTATTTTATAAATGGAGTGAATTAACAGATGCTTCGGAGCAGAGTGCTGGGGTAGCATTCACATTTTTAGTGCTCTCTCTGGGCAGATGAGTTGTGTAGAGTGTTATACAGGCGTCTCGGGATGAAAGTCATGCTCATCACTGCATGGATATGTGGCCTTACCCACTTTCTTAAATAGATTTAAATCTCTTTATTACTCATTTTTTTCTTAGTATTTGTTATACGGTTTCATCATTTATGTCGCTAATCTTGGGTTGGGCTTGCCATATCCTATAGTATTAAAAGATGAAAATTAAATTCTGTCTATCTTTCTAGGGAATGGGATTTCCTGTGAGCCACAGGAAACGGATGATTACACGCCTTTGGAAGATAGTTTATTTCTATTACAAATTTTGTCCATGCAAAACTTGGACCTTAAACTGTATATTAAAATTGCTTCTCAAAAGAACACTGAGTTTCCATGTCCTGACTTTTGCAATTGAATGACTACCACCAATAAAACGGATGTTTCATAAGATGGGATTTGGGAACTTTGCAAAGAAAGAAGGATCACCACAGAAATCCGTGGTGGAAGAGTTGGGGTGAAAGAGTGCCTCCCAAAAGCTTTCCATATAACCAAATGAGGGTTTAAAGATCTACATGCTATATACTATATTACGATGGTTTGAAGCACCTTTTTCCCTGCTGCTCTGCCCAGAGAGCCATCCGCTTATGGGAAAGACAAGCAGGGACTTCTTGCAAGTGCTGCCAACCCATTCTATGTTTGTCCTGAGGATTAGTCATAAATGAGATCTTCTTTCTTCTAGACCCAAAATGTAAAATGTCTTTGCTCAAAATGTAGCTCCTCCCATCACCCCCCTAGTTCCATCATGATTGTCACATTCCAGGCTTTTTTTTTTACCACTATAGTACTTTTTTAATCTCAAAGAGCATGATGCATAATTCTTGCTTTCAATTTGGAAAAGGACAGGACTTGTTTTAGAGATGAAACTATGCTGAAATGAATCAGACAGATCTGTTCATAAATGATTTCCTTTTGATGCCCGGATGTGAAATTCGTGTGTTGGGACCGTACTTGAAGTATTGAGAATATTGTCAGTGCAAAATTCCTCACTCCACACCTTTCCATTGTGTCCAGTGCAAAACAAATGCCCCATCTGCATTTTAGAAAGACAATATATGCTGTTTGACCTGAAAAATAAACATCCACGAGTTTGGTGTGTGCCGTGCCACTTTAGTAATACCTGTATCTGCTCGCCGAGACTCTGTACCTTTGTACAAATTTAATGAGGCACCTCTGGAAGAATGGGCTGATCCATCAATAATGTATAACCCATGTTGGTTTTTTCTTTGAGCATATTTAAAATTGGGCATTTTGCGTGTCAAAGTTCAAAAGTCAAGTGCTACATGTGATAGAGGAGGTAGGGGTCAAAAGTTATTGCAATGCAGTTCGGGAAGATTGTCTTTCTCTGAATATGCAGCTCATTCATGCTGAAGTGATGCACTCTGGGAATTACTACCAAACTCTGCTTTGCAACATCTGTGCTCCCTAAGTGAGTTAGTGCACGTCAGACATCTTTATGTCAGAATATTGCGGTGATGGATGCAGTCTTCAGAAAATGCTGCATAAAAATCTGGTGTGCCGTTCTGGCCATTAAGTGAAATTACTATTTAAATTAATGGCACTGTCACAGTTTATCTGTACAAAGAATGAACGCTGATTAGGGTATTAAGTAATTAGCAATTTATCACACTGGAACAAGGTTGATAATAATTAAAGAAGTAATGGTTTACCAAAGAAACTAGAAAGGGAGTCACTTCTTGTTACGTGAGTGAAACCCTCACTGAAAATTTCAGTTCAATAAAACAAAGCCGAAGCTCTTTGTGAAAGAAAGCGTTCTCTTTCTTGTTTTCCTTTTTTTCTTTCTAGTATAAAAACAGTTCATTAGCAAAATTTTACTTGACCTGTCAGAAGTCCCTCAGAGTGATCAGATGACCAATTAGGAATTTAGAATTAGGTCAACGTCTGCATTTTGATTTCATACTTAGAGCGCGGCAACGCCACCGAGTAATTTGGGAGTGGAGGAGGAGAACGTATTCTGCTCCCAAAAAGGCCAGTTTCCAGATTTTGATTGTTTTTAGAATAGAAACATGAATAGTTTTAAGAGAATTGCTAGAGAAAAATGACAGTAAAAAATCCAGGGATGTATTTAAATGTGTGATCAGGAAGTATCAGAAAAATGTCTGAACTGTACAAAAGTTGAGCCTACATTTTTTAAAATTTTACTTTATGTGTGTAAGCACATGTCTGTCTGTATTCGTATGTGCATATGCACACAAAAAATCGAACGCTCCCACCATAAGGAAGACGGTCTACAGTGATAACCCTGCAAGACATATTTTATTTGAGAGAAATTTGCCTGGAGATCTTCAAAAATAAAAAGCTACCCAAACAATAGTCTTTTTAAACCAGTCACTTTGAAGTGTTGTCACACTAAAATAAACATAACTGTCAAAACTCTGTTAAGATTAGTGCATAGTATTTATCGCAGAAAAATTTTAACTATTACAAGATACTTTTACAAATGGAGACAAAATAAAATGTTTGGAGCCACAAATAAGCATCTTTCTTAAGGCATGTGGCACACCATCTACTTTTAAGGATTAAGGGGAAAAGTATTGAAAATTCCTTGCTGTATTGTGAGGAGTGCCATTCATACTGGAGATGTTTGCTCAGAACCGGATTACACAATGCAGGACCTCAGGGCACTTGGAATTTGAGGCTCTTTATGTTATCAGTCAGGACTAATAATAAATAAACAAAATTCTAATTAAAGCAAATCACTCGGCACATTATGCTGCTGTATAACTGCATATAAATTCTGATATGATAGTATTGTGGTGTTGAATCTAGGCGCCTTAATTTCTAGCTTAATCCGACTCTCGAGTATTCTTTATTCATGCTTTTCTATCTAAATTTCTGCTGGTCTTTTCCTCTGGTAGTAACTAAGTGATGGGAACACAAGTAATTAAGCCAGACTTGCTGGGAGAAAAGAAAGCATCCCAGGTACACGCGTCAGAAAGAGATGTGGAAGTCCAGGCTGGCTCTTCCTGCAAGGTCTTTCTCTTGCTGCCCCAACCTCTCAGCCATCTCCACTCACAGGCCTGTAGAGTAGAGCCCAGCTCTGAAGCCACATGCAGATTGGGGCACCTGACCCAACAGTGCACACTCAGCTGGTCTTAGATGCCAATTCTAAGCCACCAAGAAAGTATGGATTCATGGAGTATCTATTCTCACCCCAGACAAAGATGAACCAGACCTCGGAAGGCTCCTCCAAAGGTTTCCACAACTAGGATGACCTCTTCTTCCGCACTGCCCGTTAGACCTATTCTTCCCCCTGAATTTCTAGAGCTTTCTCTGAGTGCTTCTAGTCTAATTCTCATTTGCAACAAGATGTTATCCTCACAAAATGGGCTGGCAGTTGTGATGACAGAAATCCCATCTATTTTTATGGAGCACTGGCACGGTGTGGCCCAACTGAGTGATTTCCAGACACTTCCTCTTGTGTGTTCTTTTGCTAATTAGTGTCTAGTCCTCCTGGTAAGAAGGACCCTCACTACACAGTTAAATCACCTTGCTAGGGAAATGCTACCTTAGCTCTTGCTCCATTTCTGAAACTGCCCAACTCCGACATTTTTAATACCAAAGTTTATAGCAGCCTGAGTTTGCTTCCCTTTTTTATTTCATATTCATATATAACTTTTTATTGTTGCAGGGATGTTCTGTTGTGGGCAGGATTATGTGAATGTGTCAGATACCATATGCTGCTCAGCCTCCAGTGGAGAGTCTAAAGCACATGTTAGAAGGAATGTACCAGAGCCAGGAAAGTGCTGTGAGACTGAACTTATCCCAAAGAGCCAGAAGTGCTGTAATGGAGTTGGATATAACCCTTTGAAATATGTTTGCTCTGACAAGATTTCAACTGGAACTATGAAGAAGGTAATTGATAGAAAACCTCTCCGAGGCCCTGATTTGACAATGGAAAGTGAAATACATTGTTCATAACTATTTTTCTAAAATAGTAATATAAAAACTCCTGTGTGCATTATTCATTTTCACATTACATCCGTATTAATACCGAATGAGTTGGCTATGATGGATGTTATTGCAATGAGTTCTAAAGGAATTAATAACGATTAGCTGTTCTCAGGGAAGCATTGACCAGGGTCTCAGATTGAGCTCAGGACTGAGATCTGTGTGCAGAAAGAGCTGCTCTGCTTGTCCTGGTTCCCCACATGGAACCATTTTGTGGCCCTGAATGCTGGAAATGGAGATGGAAGGAAGTTCCTGCTCTTTCTCTCTTGCCCATCAACTGTATCTTCCACATTCTGTTCATAGAGACCTTGGGACGTCTCATTCAGTGGGCTGAGTTTTCTCTAGATTCCTTTAGACATCATGGAATGGACAAGTGCCTATCTCAGCCCCCAGCTGAAGGGCCATGGTGGTCATCTGCTGTGCCTTTCCCTCTGTACATGTCATGCCTGTGGGCATCACACTTGAGAACGACCCCAGAAGCCTGTAATCTCAAACACTGAGTTAAACAAAATACCTTATCATTTACTTGCGTGACTTTTCATCCCAAGGCTAAAAATGGGTATCTTGGTCACAGACAGTGACCAAGACACTTACTGGATGTGGAGACTGCACAGTCCTTGTGAGGACATCATACACACTGGATGTGAAATAACTCTTCTGAGGTCACTGTAACCCTAGAAAAAACTTTGTAGCAGCAAGTGATTAGATGACCCACAAGGTCGGTTCCCTCTTTATGAGAAGGATAATATTTCTGTGCCCTAAATCAGATGGCGTGTTATGTGTGAAGCTCAGTGCCTGCCATCTCCCGCAGCCCCTCCCTTGGGGATCTTCCTCTTCTAGTCCATTGTGAAGAGGACCCCTGCAGAATGGCCCTACCGTGGAACCTGCAGGGCTTTCCTGAATTAGCAGTTCAGGAATTTCTCCTACCCCTCCCCAGGTTGGACCCTGAATTCTGGGTCCTGAATTTCCTCATTCTGGAGATCTATCTTCACATATGCTGGTGCATTGAAATAATTCTGAGATGACTTGACGGTTGAAATCCCAGCATCCAGTGCTCCCACTGGATTAATGGCTTGGCCAGATAGGTGCTTCAAGGATAGAAATTATTTGCACTCAGAATTTTGTAGGCATTTCTATAGTTTTTAGGCTTCTAACAATATTTCAATTCCTATTTCTTCATAGGTGAGCTTTTCAAGATGTTCTTTTTATCCTCTTCCTCTCAAATTTCATGAAAATCAGGGCCGGGAAGATAGCTCAGTAGAATAAGCACATCCCTGGCAAGCGCAAGGGCCTGAGTTCAATCCCCAGTTCAAAAAAAAAACCAATGTTTTCATGAAAATGTGTCTCAATATGGCAGTTTTTACTATTCATAATGATGTGTTTTTGTGGAATTTTTAAGTCTAAAGTCTTCTAAAAACTATCACTGTAGTATTTATGTGATAATTTGCTTTCTCTTTTATCTCTCTTTTCATCCAATCAGTTGTCTTCTTCAACTGACTTTTTAAATTTTCTTCTTCCTGCTGTTTCTTGACTGTGGGTCTCCATTTAGTCTCCACTTCACAATATATTGCTTTAACTTTCTCTCTTACCCTTTCTGCTAATTTCTTACGATCTCAGCTATGATTTTAAAGCACTTGCAGCGCCTCTCCCTTTGCTGCTTATTGTCTGTCCCTGTGCCCCTGCTGTTTCTTCCCAGGAGCATGCCTTTTCAGCATTCTGAAAATATTGGTTACTTGTTGTTTTTCTGTTGTTTCCTTTCTTTCTTGAAGTATCTCATTTACTCACTGGGCTCTATTTTCATTGTTTGCTTTTCGGAGCTTTTCATACTCACTGGACTTCTTTTTGCTATGCGTGGAAATCTGCTCCTTGGAGGCTGAGACAGCCTTGGCCTGGCCTTAGGTGGGGAGCACAGTAGGGGGCCAGGTGGCCAGGGGGGATTTTCATGAACCACACTGAAAGAGGTCTCAAAGAGCACATTTAGTGCGTGAGCCTTAATGTTCTACCCCAGGTCGGGCTGTGGTGTGCCCTTGTCGGCCAGCACTGAGCAAATGCAGCAGGAAGCGGGCAAGTGCCCCCTGGGTGCCACATACAGCGCCAATTCCCATCTCCCCTCTGGCTCCCGGCTTCTGCCTTCCAGAGGGCCCTGCCTGTTCCTTATAATTTTACAAACTCTTTCCTGAGCTTAGCTCATTGTGTAATACCTTGCCAAATGTATTTAAGAGCAACACACACACACACACACACACACACACACACACACTGCTAGTGATCTATCCTGCAACCTTCTCCACAGCAGGGAGCTCAGTTGCATGTGGCTTTCCTTGACAGTTGTCCCAGGGTCTAATTGTACCAACTATTTTTCCATGTCATCCAGAGCTCGCCAACCTGCTAACTTCCACTTTCTATTTTCTTGCCACTCTTTCCACTGAGCACCACCTATTTTAGGGTTTTGGTGGCTGTAGCTAAGTAAACAGATCCTAAGGCCAAATACCGATTGGCAAATATGTGATCACTCCAAGGAATGAAATCTTCTGTTTTCCTGGGGTATAACTAAAAAAAAAAATTGTATATAACTCCATATCTATGCATATATTTGGAAATGATTCCCACAATTAAACTACTTAGTACTGTGTATCTGCAAACATACAGTAGCTACTCTTTCCTTTTCTTTTCTCCTCCTATCCTCCCCCACCCTTCACCCTTCCACTCGCCTCTTCGTCTTCTCCACTTCCTCCTCCTCGTTCTTCTTCCTTTCTTTTCCCTGTGTGTGTATCTGTGTAAGTGTGTGTATGTGTAAGTGTGTGTATGTGTGTATGTGTGTAAGTGTGTGTATGCGTGTAAGTGTGTGTATGTGTGTATGTGTGTAAGTGTGTGTATGTGTGTAAGTGTGTGTAAGTGTGTGTGTGTAAGTGTGTAGGTGTGTAGGTGTGTAAGTGTGTGTGTGTGATGAGAATGCTTGTGACCCCCTCACTTAGCAAAACTCTGCTGTAATTGTATGCATTCCATTCCAACACATACAGTCTACTGGGAGCTGTCTAGCCCTCCCTACGCAGCACGTGGGGTCCTGAGACCCTTCTGTCTTCACTGCTTTGCATATAGCCCTGTATAGCCCTACAATCCCAACAGAATGGAAGAGAGAGGATTCACTGCATACGTGGGCAGTGGACACTCAGGATATCCTTTTTGTGCATTAGTCATAATTAGACAAATCTAATTATGTGGCTCCTTTTACTACAAAGAGGCTCAAAAATCCCTGGCTTCTAGGGATAAAAGGAAACAACGGACATTAATAGGCACCTGGCATAGATAGCTGCTCCACCACTCTACTTCACAGTTCTAGAATTTTTGAACACTTCCATGTCTTATTTCTCTAAACTTTTCATAGATACTTTTTATCTATTCCGTTATTTTCCTGCCACTTGGCTGGGCTCTAAGAGGATACAGAGGTAAGTATAAGTATTCAATTTGCCATTCTTAGATGGAATTTCCAGTGCATTTCTCTGAAGCAACATTTTTGAACAAGCTTGGTGAGAATAATTTAACACATTTTATGTAAGGAAGAAGTTGGATAGAGAAGGTTACGATAGGAGGTATTTATTTAAATTATGCAGGTTAGAATGACTATCAATACATGTATAACATCCAGCAATTCATCACAGAAAATGTCATAAATATAAATAATTATAATGATGGATCATAAAATATTTAGATTTCTGAAAGTTGGATAAGTAGTATTTCTTTTTTAAAAAAAATTTATTTGTTTGGTACAGGGTCTTGCTACACAGCCAGACAAGTAGGGATCCTCCTGTCTCAGCCTTTCCAGCACTGAGATTATAGGTGTGCACCACCACCACACCTGGTTTTGGGACTGGCATAGCGCACTCTGGGCTCCAGAACTGGCACTGCATGTGGTACCAGGGATCGAACTCAGGTCCTTGTGCTTGCCAGGCAGGCGCTTAGACTGCTGAGCTACCTCCCCAGCCGAGTAATATTGAAGGACCCAACTTTCCAAACAGCATATGCAGTACGGATTATCAAATATTTCATTCTCCACTTTCTGCAGAACATCACAGGAAACTGCCAAAGTGCACTACTACAGTGATGACCACTGCGAGCGGCTGTGTGTGCATAGCGAGCCTACAAAAGACACAGGCGTCCTCTCACTTTGTTCTCATAGCAAACCTTCAAGGAAAACTTACTGTCCATTTTTCCCCCTCTCAAGAAGCTGAGGCTGGGCTGGGAGGTAGCCCCATTGTCTAAGTGCCTGTCTGGCAAAGACCAGAGTTGGATCCCCAGTACCATGTGCCCTGCTGGTCCCCAAACCCAGGTCACGCTTACTGCCCTGAAACCAGGCATGGTGGTGCACACCTGTAATCTTGGTGCTGGGGAGACTGAGACAGGAGGGTTATTTTAAGTTTGAGCTGTGTAGCAAGACCCTGTACTAAAGAAATAATAAATAAATAAATAAATAAGAACCTGAGGCCCTAAGATTGTGAGTAACCTACTAGATAGAGTTCACACTCCTGGAAATTTGCAAAACTAAAATCTTACTCCCAATCTGGGATATTTCAAAGTAGACATAGCACCTTGTAGACAAACCACTTTTGTTTCTTTTTATGAATTTTGAGACATTCATTATCAAGTGAGTAGGACAAAGTTTACTTGAATGGTACAGAAACCGACCCTACACGTGTCCAAAGGGAAGCTTAAAACCTTCTTCTCTCTCTTCACCCGCACAGCCCCCGGAAACCAAAGCATGTGGGACTCTCTGCCCAGCATCTATGGAGGCCACAGCTCACTGTGGCCACTGTGACTTCAATTTCACCAGCGACGTTTGCGTTGTGACACGTGGGTCCCCCAATTCCACAGAGAAGGCATTAACTGGAGACACATGTGCATCTCCCGAAGAGACCGTTCATACTGGAAGTGTGGACACGCTCTCCTTCACAGGTAACCGGCCTTGAGCCCTCGGCCTCAGCTGGGCAGGGATGGTGAAAAGCTGCTGGAAGTCCAGGTCTGTCTCCTCCAACTCCCTCCCTGTCGCCTGCTCTCAGGTCCTCCTCTGGCCCCCTGCTCCCATTGCTCTTGGTTACAGACATTGCCTTCAGTCTGTTCTGCAGCTCCCCGGTGAGACTAACCTAGTCTCGTTAAAAGAATGCCAGTGTATAACTTTGCCAATGTATTTTTATCAATCTGTTACTTTGACCTCATTACTTGGATTTAGTAAGCTGTATGTCGTCAAAGATACGTATCAGAATGGATTTCACTGCAAAAGTTCTCAGCATATAGGACAAGTTGTCCAAATCTCCGTTTTCTTCCTACACTCAGTTAAAAATTTGAATCACAGACTCTCATTTTAAAATTATCGGGCTTCCATCCATAAGAGCTTTCTCCTTGTATCTGCTCCTCATAATCAAAGTCGAGATTCTGAAGCGCTTTTAACACGTACTTGCCTTCACTCTCTCCAGAAGTGAAGAGATGTTCCCACGTACGGAGGGAGTATTATGAGGGCTTTTAAAACCCACACTCCAGATTGCTTTTCCTGCTAGAATATACTAAAAATTGAATATGAAAGATTATAAATCTCACCCTTTTCATGAAAAACAATAAGCACACAAGTGGTGCTGTGACAATTCTATTGAAAGCAATTTTCTCTAGCAAGCCAGCCATTTAGAGAAACTTGGAATTAAAATCTAACAACACTGACACTAATCAAAATTCATCCACTGCTCTATTCATTAGTTTAATCTAAAATATTTAGTAGGGGTTTGGGGCGGTGGCTCAGTGGTAGAGAATTTGCCTAGCGTATGCGTTATGGTATTTAGGCATCCCCCAAAGCCTCATGCAGTCACTGGGGCGGCATCTAGAATTTGTGATTGATTCATGATCTAATGCTAGATTACGGTGTGATGCCACACCCACCCTGGGGCAGATAAGCTGCATACTGCGTAAGGAGGGGAAAAAGACTAGCCAGCAGCCACAGCTGTTCCTCCCTTTGCTGCTTTTTGCCACCATGTGCTACTCTGTCTTGGAGCCAGCTGAGTATAGACTGAAACCTCCCCTAACTGTGAGCTAAATAAACTTTTCTACCTTAATTTTGGGCACTGAGTATTTTGTCCTAGTAACTAAGACTTTATGGAGGGTCCTTGGTTTAATGAGCAGCATGATAAAAAGAGAAATAAAAGTAGGTTCCTACTGAGAGCTAGTCACTAGAGTAGGACCAGCAGGTTAAGCAAGAATTCCCACATCTGAAGGACTCCTGGAATGACAATGAGTCCATTCGCCTGGTAACTGGTGGGGCGGAAGCATGGGTAGCAGCCAGCATCGCCCTCTGATGCTTTGGGAAAGTCTTGCAAGAACACCTGCATGAGGCAGAGTATGGGAGGGAGAAGGCTGCACAGCAACAGCTACAGATCATGGTTCAGGACACATTGGACTAGCTGTTGCGGCCACAGCGGCTGGTCTTTGTGCAACAACAAGTGGACTAGAAAGCTTTCTACACAACAAGTGGACACGCTGTATGTGTGTCTCTGAAGGAAGACACTGTCTGCTATTAAAGCTATGGTTGAAGTGAGACAAATATTGTATATATGGGACATTAAAAAATTACAAATAAATATTGTTTAAATCTGTCCTCCAAACCCTCACATAGCTTTTAGTGTTGGAAGATTGTCCCACATAATATACAGAATGATCCTGAGCCAGGAAGTTCCAAAAAGGGAGTTGTAGGGAATGGAGGTAGGAGACTTGGCAATTACTGAGAAAACAGAACTTCGGACAGGAGAAAGATTGCTGAGAAAGGCAAAATGTTTGCAAACAAATTCATGTAAAGCCAAAGGACTGCTTGCATGAGCCGAGAGAATCCTTGAAAAACAAGTGCTTACGGGTGAACAGAGAAACAAGAAGAAATGAGGATGGAAAACAGGAGAGCTAAAGATAGCAGGATAAAGAGTGTGGAAAGCCCCTCAGAGAGCTGCAGCAGCTGAATCAGAGATGATGGCGTGAGCCTGAAGGTGCACAGCAGGAGTGAGGATCACAGAGGGTTAATGCACTAGAGCGGAGTAATGTAGAGACACAGTGAGCAGTTGGGTGGGTGGGTGGGTGCTTGGACAGCTCCGCCCCCCCATGTCGCTGACGGCCTGGAGGTTTCCCACGCTGCAATGCAACATGCTTCGGGTGGTGTGTCCATCTTCAATGCGCAGCCCGGGACTCTAGCGTCACAGCTCCTTCTATGGGAAATTCCTAGCCAAGAGGGGAGCAATTCCTCTTTAAGAGGGATTCAGAGGCTGCTCATTGCTCACTCATACTCCTTCAGGTCATGAGATCTTTTTTGATCATCACTAGCTTCAAAAAAAATGGGGAAATATGACTTCTAACTAGAAGTTAGGGAGCCGGGATGCAAGGGAAATTTGGGGATCTGCTGATGGTCACCACAGACACGTGGGACAGGTACCCTATTACCAGAGAAAATAGGCAGAATGTAGTCATGCTAGACAGCCTGCTGTTACTGTAACAAATACTTGAGTTAGATAAGCTTATAAGATCTACAGGTTTTTCAGGCCATGGTTTCTGGGTCTACTGCTTGTGAGCCTTTGTACAGAAGTTCATCCTGACAGAAGCCTGTGGCAGAGGAAGCTGCTCACCTCATGATCAACAGGGAGCAAAAGCAAGTCAGAGCTGTGTACTGCAAGATCCACCCCAAGGCCGTGCCCCCCGTGCCCTCACTTCCTCCGTCTACCTCCTGCCTCTTAAAGTTTCCAGTGATACCTCAGTCCAGGGGCTCTGACTTTAATACCTGGGCCTTGGGAAAACTCAAGATCTAAGCCGGGGCAATAATCCTTTACGTTTATAGGGAAATTTACATTTTATGAAGTTCTGCCACATAACTTACTCTATTTTATTTTCACATTAATTCTATAAAATAGGCAGGGCAAGCTTAATTATAAGGAGAGTGTGTCTCAAAGAACCCAAGGGGACTGGCTGAGTTCACACCAGCCAGCGGAGAGAGTGCAGGAGGCCGGGGCCGCCTCTGTGGGTCTTCACGCTGCAGAAGAGTAGCTGAAAGGAGCAACCTTGACAAGATTAACTGGATAAATAATGACTTTAAGTAATTAATTATCCAGACAAGAGTTTTCCTGCAAATCTGAAATAGCTGTATTTTTTAGAGTAGTAACATTCAACACGATGCTTGGGCTTTGAAGACACCACGGAGTCTCGGGAACATTTTCTAGTCAAACTTCCGCCCATCCCCAAAGCTCAGCAGAGCTAGTTCTAGCATTTTAAGCAGAATGGCATATTTGGTTTGGCTTGTAATCTTGGTAGAAAAGGACAGGAAAAGACTGTGGACGGTGCGCTCCTTGCTATTCACTGACACGGCACCCTGAGAAGGCCACTTGGAGTCCTGCATTATAGCCACATAGTATCCTAATGCAGCATAGTAACAAAGTAATAGAAAATAATCCTCAGTAAAATTTATCATGAAACTAAAAAGCAACGTTGGCCAAAGTATTTCAAACAGAAGTAAAGGGCACTGGGGCTTGTGAAGCATCAGAGTTACGCTGGCCTGCTGCTCCCACTTCGCAATCTTTTCTTTAATGTTTTTATACTTCTCTGCACAGAAATGATTAATTCTCTTCTGTGAAATCCCACACCTCCATGACTAGGAAACATTTAAAATGTGTGTTTTTAATTTCAAAATTAAAGATATTAGAACTTTGTTTATACAGAAAGAAGGGGGAGTGTTGCGTGTGTGTGTATGTGTGTGTGTGCAAGTGCACACATGTGTGCTTAAAGGTATGAACATTCATTTCTAATGATAACAAAAAAAAAAGAAAGAAAGAAAACATGACAAGCTATGTTCTGTCTTTCTAGATGTGAACCTCCAGCCCCACACGATGTATGAATATAGGATTTCTGCATGGAACAGCCATGGGCATGCTTTCAGCCAAGCCGTTAGAGCCAGCACCAAGGAAGATGTGCCTGAGGGTGTGGCTCCCCCTCGGTGGACCAAAGTGGGCGATCTTGAAGATACGATCGTGTTACACTGGAAAAAACCTATACAATCAAATGGTACTGAGCTACTTTTAAAATGAAAACAAACTAATCTCAAGAATGCAAGAGACTATTGAGCTGAGAGTAACTGACACATAATTGGCACTGGTCAATCCTCTACTTCCCCGCCACCTAATCATTCACCTTCTGGCATAGCGTTCTTGAGATTCTAGCAGAATCAAGTAAATACCACACAAGCTTCAATACCATATTGTTTCTCTTAAATGAGAAACTCGGAGTGAAAACAAGGATCCAAATAAAAGACATGAAGTGGGAGACGGATGGAGACGGAGAAGTGGAGGGAGGCAGAGGAGAGGGAAGAGAAAAGGGGTTAAAAAAGGAATTGGGCTGTGTTAGGTACCTGGGCCAACTCCACACAAGAAACGTTATGTGCTGCCAACAGGTATCAAACGGGGTAAAGGAATAGAACATGGGTGGAGCCCAAGAGGGAGGGAAAAAGGAAAGAAAAGGAAATTACACGTAGTGACTTCCCACTAGGAAGGGCATCAGTATGCACCACATACACATACTTATTATTAGCCAAACTAATAAATTTCCTTAAATCATAGCACATATTTGAGCTGCTTTCAAATAACCAGGGCATGACCAGGTGAGTCAAAATAGTTTTAACATTTAAAGTAAACTTGTTGGCTACTGAAGGGATATAAACACAAATGACTTTTGATTATGTCCAGAATCCATTTCTCCCATGATAGTATAAGTGAGCCCTGCTTGAGCATGGTAATAAGGAAACAAATTAAAATTAAATATTGCCACAATAACCCATTTTTTCAGAACATCATGACATGTAAATTGTCTGCAAATAGTCCAAATTATACCATAATCAAGTACGCCATTTCTCTGTGTCTTTTAGGTCCTATCATTTACTATATTCTTCTCCGAAATGGAATTGAACATTTTCGGGGGACTTCCTTGAGCTTCTCAGACACAGAGGGAATCCTCCCCTTCCAGGAGTATTCCTACCGGCTGGAAGCTTGCACCGTGGCAGGCTGTGCTACCAGCCGTGAGGTAAGAAGTTTTAAGGTCTTTACCGATGCCGCAAAGCAAGATTTCCTGTGCAGTGGTGTCAGGTAGAGTGTTCATTATTCACGTAACTAGGTGTTAATACTCACGTCTGCAAGAAAGCATCGCTATAAGGTCTCCGTGTCCAAGTATCAATGTTCTATTAATTAAAAACAAATGGGGATCGGGGAGATAGCTCAGTAGGATATGCACTTGCCTGGCAGGCACAGGGTCCTGAGTTCAATCCCCGGTTCCTCAAATAATAAGAAATAAAAACAAATAAGACATGGGACCAGTTTCTTCTTTTTTCACAGTCTTCTCTCATCCGTTATTTTTGTCATTACTGTGGTCTGGTACAATTTCTTCACAGCCAAATTCATGCTGAGACTGGTCACTGTGCACCAGGGCTGGGAGGCGGAGAGGCCTTCGGGAGGAGCCGGAGTCCGAGCCATCAGGTCCCGGGAAGAGAGGAGCGCAGTCGGGAGCTCGCTTCGCTCCCAGCAGTGCACGGCGAGCGGGGCTGCCTCTGCTGTTGCGTCTTTCGGCTAAGCCTGTCCGCGCCTGTGCTTCTGCCATGAGCTGGGAGGGCACACGGCCCTCACCGGGGCAGCCACGAGAGCCACAGCCAGAAATCAAACCTCTTCCCTTTATCAGCTGCCCGCTTGCTGCTATTGTGTTATAGCCACAAAAAGTAGAGTAGCACGCCAACATCCTGTAAATCCAGGAACACCTGCAAAGCATTTTCAAATAAAAGGAATTTATAGTTAAGTGTCTATCTGCAAAAGAAAAGAGAAAGAAATGCTGCTCTTAAAAACTAAATTTTTAAATTAAAAATGCTTAAGAAAAAGCCAAAATCATTGTAGCAAAAGAACTTATTACTTCACAAGACAATGTTGAACCCAACGCAGGATTGGTAAGCGGAGTTTTCCGGAAAGATCGATGCAGGAAATTAAAGCAAGGAGCTTAAATGCGGTCGTCCAAAGAAACCCTGCAGGGAGACAAAAACAGAATTGCATAGATGAGCATTGGGGAAATCTACGGAAGGAGGAAGAAAGAAGCTCTCACGAAGAAGAAGGAGAAGAAACAGACAATTTAGGAGGAAGATGAAGAAAGTGCGTCGCAGGACGCCAGCCACGGTGTCGGCAGCCGTGGCAGCGGAAGCGCACGTGCACTGAGCAGCTCGGGTTCCCTCCATCTGCGGGAGAGCAGCGTCGTCCCGTGGCGGAAGGAGGCACTCGGGAAGCACTCAGCCGCAAAGCACCCACGTGGCAGCCACGGGGCCGGGGCGGGGTGGGGGGTCCGGGGGGCGGGCCAGGGCGGGGGCAGCACATCCCGGTCCTGAGCGCCACAGCGGAGCCAGACAGCCACCACCTCGCAAGCAGCAATCATTCCATACGTTTTATGCAGACCCAGCTCACATCTACCAGCTGCCGAAACAATTAGTTAAAAAGTAAAAACGGAAAAAATGGAGCCAATGTTTGTCCAAAGCTACATTTTGACATTACTGGCTCATCCTCTGGGTGATCTTTCGGTTTTTTTTCCTTCTCACTCACTTCTTTTTCTAGGACACTGATGCAGACACTATAAAATCATCCCTGGTGACATCGGAAGTGTGCTCCAAGGTCTACCCATTTATATAGCTCGAAGCATATTATATGCAAGCAACTTTGGATATAGGGTTTGCTCCATATTTACTGGTGCTTAAAATGCACCAAATCAGGCTGTTAAAATGCAAAGACACCGATGGGCCATATGGAAGAGAGTCATCAGGAGTTCTCTGAGAAGACGGTGTGCCGGCCAGAGCCTCCTTGTTTAAACTGAGGTCTGCACGGCGCCATCCAAATTGTTGTTGAACCTATTGTGATGAATGGTAGTGGGCGACTTATGTAATGTATTCAAGGTCAGATTTCATTGTTTAAATAGGATGGGAAGAAAAGAATAAAAAACGGAGACGGCTTCTCCAAGCCCGAGCTAATGATATGCCAGGCCAGACACCAACATTTTAAAGCAAAAGTGACATTCCCATTGATCAGGATACCCAGCGTACTGTTACAATAAATTGCTGTTTCATTCCTCTGCTTCCAGGTAGTTGTAGCTGCGACCCAAGGAGTTCCAGAAAGCATCGCGCCGCCCAGCGTCGCGGCCCTGAGTTCAGAGTCTCTGCATATAAGCTGGAGTGTCCCCGGGAAACCAAATGGCATCATTAAAGAGTACCAGCTCTGGCAGGGTGGCAGAGGTCTCATCTACACCGACATCACTCACAGGAGGCAGCATACGGTCACAGGTGAAAAAAACCAGAAAACCTACTGGAGGAGTCTGTCGATGTGGGAGGGGGCAGGGCGTCCCAGGGGTGTGTATTTGATGTATGAGGTCACTTCAAAAGGACACATACTCTTGACATATGGTCAGGTCCCACTTATCCATGCTAATAGAAGAACCCACACTGGCAGCAATAAGCTACAACAGCAGATAACTTCAGAAATAATTTATATTTGGCTTTGATATGCATTATGAGTAGGGTTTTTTGCATCGGTATTAACTTTTTTTTTTTCAAACAAACAGTAAGGTGCATTTCATTCCTCAAGGGTATCCTCATAGATAATGGGCTTAGGACAGCCAAGAATGTACAGAAGGCAGGAGAAAATCGGCTGAAAGCTGACCTTCGTCGCTAAGTGGGTAATTCAGACACACGAGCCAATTGAAAGTTGACTAGTTGTGACTGTTATTATTATTAATGTATAAAGTAATTATATTGTTTCTGTTTTGTATTATAGCATTGTTTATTCTCATTACCTTTAATAATGTAATATAGTACAGTACAAAAGGATGCTGTTTGGTAATTGTTCTTAGTGTCTATAATAATAATTAACAGGCATTAGCTTGGATGTTACTTTGGAGGAGAAAAGATGTATTTTTGGGCGTAGTCAGCAGCAGCTTTTCTTAGCACACCACCGCATCACTTTGTTCTGTTTGAGCTGCAGACCTACCATTGCCTGACCTCTTAGCGTCTGGCTTTTCTATGACCCCCCTCAAACGTAGCCCCGAGAGCCCAAGGATCTGACCCACCTTGTTCCATGCTGTGCCAGTAATGCCTGGAAAACTCCTCAACTCCACAATAGGAGCTAAATAAATATTTGGGGAACAAAGGAATTTCACACGTGCAAAAGACTGACTGAGGCCTCAGCGTATGCCATCCAGTTGGTTGTCTTCACAAACCTGTGCTTCAGAAGGTATCATCACCCTGATTTATAAGAGAGAGCATTTTAAGAGGTTACCTATCTGAGCACCTTACTCAGGTCCAAATAGTTACAAACATGCAGATGTTCGCTGTAGGAACATTTCTTTCCTCATCCGCAGGTCCTCAGCAAACCCACTGACCGTGAGTATGGAGATTCCCTTAGCAGTTCAAATCCCATTGGTTTCCTATTCTTATTTCACTTGAAGTGAAAGAGATAACAAGTAATTAACATAGTATTGTCCTGCATATTAAAACCTTGCCTTTGTATCAAGCTTTGTCCTATAAAATTACCATTTGCATTTGGGCTTGATTCTTAGCCCTGCCTCCTAAGTGAGGGACATTTTATTAACCACATTTGAGCAGTGAAGGAACTGACCTACTCAGTGTGTCCAACGCTTCCCTCCTCCACCTAGAAGGAGAAATTCCACTTCATTCTCAAAACCAAGGTCCCCACTCACTGCATCCCGGGTAGTACACGAAGAAAAGCTTCCCCGAAGTAAAGCGGCTGCTTCTGAGATGCTCTCCGAGAGTGGTGGAGACACACTAAGAAGTAACTGCACACACGGTACAGCAGGTGCCGCAGGGGCTTGCACAGGCCTAGGGTGAAAGTCACAAAAAAGAATTCGAGTACATAGGAACTGCTAACAAGTTTTTTGCAAGTCAAGATAATGTGTGATAAGACTTTGTACCGGTGAAGAGTCCACAGTAAGCCAAGCTCCACTGTTAGAGACATTTCTTCTTGTGGAATCTGTCTATTTAAACAACATTGACTTTGGGTATTTACCAGTGATATTAACTTCATATTTTCAGAAACCAGCATATGTACACCAACAGAAGGGACTCACCTGTAGCCTTTGAACCAACAGGCATGATGGCTCATTAATCATAAAATAATTGCAAAGATTTTTCTTTAAATTTCTTCCCTTTACCAGTTCTTCCTTTCATTGTCATTTTCAATCAATATTTTTGTGTCACAGAGGATTTCAGATACTGCATGTGCTGGTACCAGATACCCTCTTTTCTTACAATAAAAAGTCTCCTCAAACAATTTTAATTTTTACAAATCAAAAAATAGAAAACACTTTTAGAAGTCATTTGATCTATCCCTCTGCTCTGTTTTAAATACAGACAATATGTTGTTTGGATAAAAGCCATAAATAGAGAGATTTCTTTGTTGAATGAGAAAATAAAAGGTTATTCAGCAAAACTTCACCAAGGACAAAGCCTTCTATAGTCAGTTCCTGTGGGACAGAGGAGCACCCAGCATAGATGATCTAATACCTGAGCGGTACAATGTTACACGTTTTGTCTGCCAACAAAAATTCAGTTGCACAGTGAGCTGGCTGCCCAAATGCAGTACCAGAGTATCATGCTGTCAATGACTCTTTTATTGAGTTCGTATGAACTAAAATAATCAAATTTATTTCCCCTCGCGTCTCAAATGTTTGATGAAAGGGCTGCCTGAACCCCCTGGGACGAGTGCACTGACTCCCTCATCATTTCCAAAACCTTGGCATTCCCCACGCAGCAGAGTACTAATGAAGCTGTAACACTAGTCTTCCCAGAGCCTGAAAAATCGAGGTCCTTGGAAATGACAGAAGGGAGCGCCCGCACCTTGCCTCAGCCCCATTGTCTCCGTGCTTATTTTTAATTACCTCAAAGCTTTAGAAACATGATCCTGTAAATGCTTCGTGGGAATAGCTGGGAAGGCTCTCGTCACGTGAAATCCATAAATTGCTTATAATCCTCTCAAGATGTTAAAAAAAGCATTAAGTAATTGAAGACAGGAAGTCCTCGGTTAATTATTTAGAGGTGTTATCAATGCTTTAAGTAAACTGAAGCGTTTTCTGCTATCTCACTGAGCGGAGCCCCTGTGGGACTCTCACAAAAGCGACCATCATCTTCTCATATTCGCTAATGCAAACAGCGTGCGGCAGCTTGTCAATAAACGACCCTGTCCTGTCATCCATTACCAAACACCTCCTCCATCCTGCACAGAACAATCTCCAGGCAGTGGTTTTGCTTTGGGCTACAACTCCTTTCTACATAAGCCTTCTAACACGGGCTTAGAAAAGAGGACAAGGTAAAGGGACTCACTAAGTTAGAAAGCCACTGAGCAAAATGAATGAATTCAGTATGTCCTCTTTGGAAGCAGTCATGATCACCACCTTCCGAGTCTCTTATCCGGGGAAATTGCTTCCCAAATAACTCGTTATCATTCTTGATTGTTGATTTTCACTGAGACTCACCATTCTCTATCAAAGAGAGAACAATTTCCTTCCCTTTCCAGTCTTAGGAACTGACAAAAACCTCTTAGTGCTAAATAACATAAACCCTAGCCATCCTGTTTGTAGCAGAAACTAATGTTAGATTGCGATGATAGCCTACCCATCACTTTGGAAAAACCGAGAACATACTTGATGAACAATACATCAAAACGGCCAAGTTACTTACAACAGAATTTTGCTTGCAGAGAACGCTGCTCCTCGCTCCCACAGTGTCCTCCTTCGGGGGGCATCTAATACATTTCATTTCAATTTCCTCCTGCATTGCCTCTGTTCCTCAGTGACTAGATAAAGCTTCTGAAGGACAGAGACAGTAGCTTCCTATTTGCCACTGGGTTCCTAGTACCTGTCCCAATACTTAACGTATTCAAAAGTACGTGTCTCATGAGTAAATATTAGTAAATGATAGTATTTAAATGATTATATTCTGTTCTTATTGTAGATAAAACCCCATTGTGAATAATACCTAAATATCACAGACAGGAACAGCTAAATTATTTTCAGGACCCATAGCAAAGTGAAAATTCAAGCTCCCTTATTCTAAAATTATTAAGATTTCCAAGACAGTGAGCAGAGCCTTGCATTCCTCCAGGATGCTTCTAAACAAGAAACCCTACTTAGCTGCTCTAATTGCATCCTGCAAAGGAAGCCCTGACCCCTGGGTCTGCATTATAGCCCATTGCTTTACCTGAAACAGGAAGAAAAGTAAAAGGGCAGTCATGTTTTCAGGGCAGCTTCAGAAGCTTCTGGAGTTCTCTGGAATGTTCTGGGCTGTATTTCCATCTCCTGCTTAACCACTGATCAAGTACTGGATCTGTGGAGGGAGGCATGATAAGTGATTGTATTTTACTTCTCCAATTGAAGGAAAACTATGCTCATACCTCTGTATGTGTGTATCACAACATCATTCTTTCTCCTTTTCATTAAACTTACTTATAGATACAAGGTCAAAAATAAAAGACTATAGTCAGCAGTTGTCTGGGTACTAACTTTTAGGAAATAAAACACTTTTTCCTGAAATTCTAAATGTTCACGGTGTGTTGCATGAGCAATCAAAACTGCTTTGTCCCAGTCCTTTTAGCCAATGTCTTATCTCTGCAGAATCCTCCTTGATACAAAATTTTGTTGTTGAAATAGAAAACTCAGAAAAGAGACCTCAGTCTCTTGTATCTTTAAACTCTGAGAGGAAAAGTGCTCATTAAAATATTGTCTTCCTTGTTTCCCCATAGTTGAGACACAGTACTCAACACCCACAAATTGGGAAGTAAAGTTTGTTTTGGCTCCCATTCTGTAAAGAATTCAGCCTGTAGTCAACTGGCTCTAGGCAGAGTGGCATAGCCAAGGAGAAAGATCTCATAGCATGGCAAGTGGGAAGCAGGGAGGGGTCAAGAAGAAGGCAGGAGGCCATATATATGATAGATAGACAGACAAACAGACCCTCTCTGGCCACACTCGCCTCTTTCCAGCCAGCTGCACCTCCCAACCTCACACCCAGCCATAAACCTATTGTAGGCTACTCCAGCATCACACACCCATAATCCAGTCCCTCCCCCAAAGCCCTGCTTGTGAGTGCATGAAGCTTTGGAGAACATCCAGATGTCAGCCAAGTACCATCACTAAGACCACAAGTAAAAGCAAGGGATTTAGCAACTGTCTAACCAATGGCCATGATGTTGATCTATCTTTGGAAAGAGTCTGCCAAAGGAATAACTCATTGAGGGAGGGCTCCCTAGGATGAGTCTGACAACTAAGATATTGGGG